GGTTTGAGCCGCACTAGGGAGCGGTGGGTGGGGGTGGGCAGCGGCCGGGCTCCTAAGGGGCTGGGGCTAGCTGGGCCCTGCGAGGGAGGGGCGAGAGCAGTCGCCTGGCCTGGGGCGGGGGTGCCTGGCTTTGGGTGCGAGGCCAGCTCTGGGACCTGAAGATCTGGGTTGGGGGCCAGGCAGGGCGGGGCAGGGCTGGAGCTGGAGTAATGTGCGTGGGGTGGTTTGGGAAGAGGCTGAGCCCCGCCAAGGGAGCGAAGGGCTGGGACTGGCGGGGGGTTGGGAGAGGAAGAACGAAGCCGGAACGTTGCAGGGTCGGGGGTCTGCAGCGTCCGAGTGAACTGGGTGACTCAAAGATGTGTTCCCCTAATAGCGGGGCAGCTGGCGAGGGACGCAGTAAAAAGGAGCGAGGTGCAGGTGGGGCTCCGCTGCGCCGAAATGACTGAGAATGAGATCAGATTTTGAGGGTGGAAATGCAGGAACCGACCTCTCCCGCTTGTCCCCACAGGCGCACGCACACTAGCTCTTCGTCTCACCAAATGATTTGAATGTGTTGGGGGAAGTGGCAGGCTGCGGGGAGAGCCGAGAAGAAAGGGGCTTCCTCTTGGAGGGAGGCGCTGGCCCTGCCGTCCTTTTTTGGGAGTGTTCAAAGGATTTTGATCGCTGCATCATGGTTTAGAATCACATCCTATATTTGGCCTTAGTGTAGGCTGCCCTTGTTTTGTGGTGTCTGAAGTGCTGCTCTACATGTTGCAAACGTGGGATTCAGAGTGAGAAGCAAATTACAAGTTATTCGTTTCCCCAAGGATAGCAACATACAAAGGCTTTTCGTTCCTATAAGACGTTTTTTAAAAATTGAATATAGTGCGTGTTTGTAAACTGGTACCGGGTGGCGAATATATTTACTTTTGGAAGTAGTTATCACAAAATATTAGGCCCTCTTACCGCAGCCTTCCTGCCTGGGATAACTTTCTAAAACAGTACTTGTAGGGTTCTTAGTCACTGTATATAATAATGCATCTCATTGTCCTTATCTGGCAGAACTCTTTCCTGACACCAGGGCCTGCTAGAATAGACAGAAACATGATTAAGTATAAGCAGTTGCTTTGTACCGTCTGTTCGATTGTGAAGGCAGCCAGATATCTATT